TGAAGGGATAGGCCTGACTCCCTGGGGTGGGACAACCCCCAAACCCTCCCCTCAGAGATAAATTCACATTAACCCTGACCACAGGATGGCAGGCTACAGCCATCCCTCTTACATGAAGCAGATGGATAGAGAATCTCATGGACATCCTACTTAGGGTGGATGGGCCTTTCTGCCCCAGAACAATTTTGAAATCCTTCCACCAGAAAATGGTGAGAAGGAGCTGGAAAAATGTCAATTGGCGACACAGACGTGGACGATGCTGATCTGGATGCTCAAGAGGGGGCCACATCAGAGGTGGAGCGTGTGAAGGAAATGAAACGAATGCCTCAAGCTGTCCTGGAAGATCTGGCAGGACCATCTGAAGTCAATGAAACCACTTGAAGATCGTTCTATGGAGCACCGCCTCTTGCAAATTTACAGAAAAGTGAAGAATTAATCCAAAAAGAAATAATCGCCATGCTTCATTATGACCTCCTACGTCACCCCTACGAGCCATCTGGAGGTAAGAAAGGAAAAACTGTAGAATTCGGCACCAAGAACTCAGAGCACATCACCCACCTGATACACAGTCCTGATGAGCAGTTCTCCAAAGAAGGGCTGGAAAAGGCTCAGCATGTTCTGGTGCAAGAGACGGAAGTGGTCAGACAGGGAATGACCCGCAGAGCACCCACCAGTGCCATCTATGCCCAGGAGTGGAAGGAATGCTACAGTCAGGTTTTGTGTCTTCCCAGGCAGAGCCGCTACACACAGGCCCACCTAGCTAGCACAACGCACAGAACTGAATCACTTGAGAAGACGCTAAGTTCCTCACACTCCTCAGAGGTGAGCAGCGATTCCATTCTCTCCTCCTTTGCCTGCCAGAGGAGTTGCCTCTCTCACTCTGGACGCACTACTGTCTTTGGGGGTTGAACCTTTGGATTCCAACCAGAGTCTGGCACTTTTTGACTCATTCAGAACTGTAGGCTTGACTCATCTGCTAGGATCTGGGGGGCCTTGGATAGGGGGAGACAAGATGTGCTGTCTCATGTTTTTTATTTTTTTATTTTATTTTTTTAAAGGAGGAAAGGTTTATTTAGCTCACAGTTGGTAGAGGTTTCAGTCTACAGTTGGCTGGCTCCAAGGCAGAGTGCGTGGCATCTCAGAGGAGAGGGAGTCAGGGCAGGCAGAAGGCAGCAAGCAATGAAGCAGCAACAGCAGCAGCAAGCAACAGCAGCCCTCTTCTGTCCCTTATTCTATCCAGGGTACCTGCCCCTAGACCTCATGTCCACAGTGGGGCACCCTCAACCCTACCCAGATCTACACCAAACCAACCAGAGAACTAACGTAAGGATCACATACCCTTGATCCCAGCAACACACACTAGATCCAGCCACCTGTTTTTATTTTAAGACAGTGTCTCACTCAGTTGCCCTGCCTGAGCTCAAATTTGCCATCCTCCTACCTCAGTCTTCCGAGGAACTGCTTGTTTTAGGAAATCTAAAAGGAAAAGTCAAAGTGTAATATTAAATATGCAGTGGAATCTCAGATACCTACCTGTAAAAAAAGAACTTGGCAGGCATAAATTTATCTCAAGCTGTGTTTTTATTTTTTCTATATTTATGCATAAATACATTAATCCACAACGATCGTATATGGCATAACCTGAGTCAATATATCATAAAGTCAAAGAATGAAATCGAAAACAAAAGAGGGAGACAAAGAGGAGGGTTTATGATGAAGAAATAGCTTGGGAAAGTTGTGGGGGGGGACCTGAAAGTTACCAAAGGGACTTTTTTGTTTGTTTGCTTTTATTTTTGTTTGTTTTTTTTTTTCCGGTACCAGGAGTCGAACTCACAACCTTGTGCTTGCCAGGCAGGCGCTGTGCCGCTGAGCTAAATCCCCAGCCCCTCAAAGGAACTTTTTGACTAGGTTTATGCAAAGAACAAAGTGAGAGGGGGGAAAAACATTTTCCAGATAGAGGCAAAAGTTGTTGCAGTCATCATCATCATCTTGGGTGTTACCTCACTTGTCATAGCCCTGGACTTAACTGTTTTTGCTAACTCTTGACCTCAGGCTCCTGTGAATCCGACCAGGACCTGGTCGTCCTGACTCTAGGGCCCAGTCCCTCCCTAACTGCCTGCTGTCATCTGCCTTATTTGCCTGTCTACAATATTCTCTATAATAATCACACGCCACAGTTGCCTGCCTTAATTCAGGGGGAACCAGCAAGTTTCTTTCTCAACTCAGGCTGGAGCTCCTGCCAAGAGCCCTCCGGGTACAGCAGAAAGTGCTGACTCCACACCCACAGGGCGCAGGGGAAGGTCCCCAAGTGCAGGGCTGCTCTGACTTCAGTGTCTGCATCTGTGAAACAGAAACACCCAGCCCTCTACAGGTGTTTCTCAGGACTGCGTGAGAAGACAGCCCAGCAAGTCATAGGTACACCACCAAAGAGTGCCGCCTCGGTGCACAGGAAAGAGAATCCCACCTGGGTGTGCCCACGACCAGGGTTGCCCAAATCGAGAGGGTGTTGGCCTGGATTCTGATGGAAAATGTTTGACCCAATGTCGGAGAGCCTGGAGCACGGGGTGCTGCCCTTGAGGAAAGAGGGTTCCTGGCGCCATGGGCTCAGCATGAGTTCTTTAAAGGCAGAGCAATATACCCCACCCCCGACTGCACCCCCACACCACACCACACATCCATCCCACCACTACTCACCACACCCTACACCACGAATCCCACATAACAACCCCACACCCCCCTCCCCATCCCATAACACACCCTACACCACACCACACTCACCACACCATACCCCACATCCCACCCTACAGCCCATAACCTACAACCCACAACCCTCACCACACAATACACCCAACAAGCCCCACCCCTGCCACACCCTACCCCCACCCCACTCCCCACACAATACTCCACACTGCAGCCAGGCCATGCAAACAGTGAGTCTGGAGAACCTAGAGGAGAGATTTGTGAGCCACCTGGGAGCGCTGGTACAGCCAGGCTGACTGAGTTCAGGGAGCAGAGGAGCAGACTCTCTGGCTGCCTTCTGACCAGAAGTTCAGGGCATCCCAGGGTGCAGGTTGGTCAGGTGCCTGGAGTCAATCCCTGGGTCCTAGTCTGGCAGAAAGAGGCAGATGGGAAACTTTCTTCCCAAAGACGGTGTCTTGGTTACTTTTTTTGTTGCTGAGACAAAATACCCAACGTCCAAAATAAAAGGAGGAACGGTTTACTGTAGCTCACAGTTTGTAGAGGATTCAATTCATAGTTGGCTGGTTCCAAGGCAGGGCAACATGACAGAGGGGCATCTCAGAGGAGAAACAGTTCATGGTGAGCAGAAGGCAGGAAGCAGCAAAATAGCAAGCAGCAAGCAGCTACCCCCTGTGCCTTACATCCTACCCAGGTTTCCTGCCCTTAGGGCAGTTAACACTCACACCCAGGGTGGGGCAGCCTTGATGCTAGCATCACACAGTAAGTCAATCCCAGTATCACATCATTGATCCCAGCATCATATACCCTAGATCCAGTCAACTTTGAAAAGCCCCACCATGACTGCATGAGGCTTTGGGGGACATCTAGAGTCAAGCCGTAACAGATAAGAAACAAGGGCCCCTGGACCCTTTGCTCTCCACCGTATCTTCTGATCGTTTCAGTGTCTGGAAGGGAAGCAGGTGGCAGACTGACCAAGTTTATGATCGCTTTGGTTTGTTTTTGTTTTTTGAATGCTCACTTTGTGAAAGCCCTTCTAAACTGGTCTAGACTGGGTATCAAGGATAAGGGATTATCACAGAACTTCCGGGGGGAAAGAACATTTTTCTCTATTTCTTAAAAGTTTAAATACAGAAGAGTACAACCTAGGGAAGAGGCAAACAGGTGGGAGGAGGAAAGGGAAGTAAAAAAGATGAAGATGTGATGTGTGTATGTATCTGTTCTCCATGACAGATTTACTATGTATCACAAACGTGCTAATAAAAAGGGGGAAGAATCTTTACTATAAAAAAAAATTAAATACAGACAAGTACAAAGGTTTGTATTACCTTGAATTACGGTTTTAGGTATGTCTTTTCTTCCCCCCCCCCCATCCTGGAAGAAAATGGTACCAAAATCTGGTCATTTGCTAATCAGTTCCCCAAAGCAGAAGAAATTAGCTGATCCAATTGAATACAAAACAAAACTGAAAGCTTTACTTTAAAAAACAAAACAAAACAAACAAAAAAAAACTTTTTAAAGCAATTTCAAAATCAAACTACACCAAGAAGGAAATAGAGATTCTCATTAACTCACCAGCCCCACCGATCCCAAATATACACCAACATCTCGGCCAGAACGCCGCGTTTGTTCCAGTGGATAAATCTACATTCCTGCACCACCATCACTGAAAGTTCAAGTTTACTGTCAGAGTGCGCTCAGAATGAACTAGGAAGCACAGATCTATGAGGCCACATTACTCTGGACATTAGAAGAAAACAAAGCTATGATTAGGAGCTTTAAGAAACTGGCCATGGTGGTCAAGGCCTGTAATCCCAGCACTGGGGAGGCTGAGGCAGGAGAATCCTTGAGAGTTCGAGACCAGCCTGGGCTGCAAAGTGAGCTCAAGGCCAGCCTGAACTGCATAGCGAGACCCTGTTTCAAAAAAGACCAAAAAAAAAAAAAAAAAAAAAAAAAAAAAAAGCCGTGGGGCACTGGGTGTGAGGGTGCACGTCAACCCAAGCATGGGGTTATGGCTCAGTGGTAGAGCCCACCTGTGCGCAGTCTTTAGTACCAAAAACAAACAAATGCTTCCAAAGTGTGTATTGTGGTGTACTTAAGACAGTGGATAATAAACCAGGGTAAGAGAAATCCAGAGCTTCAGAGAAGTCCCGGGTTTAAAAAACAAACGCCAGGCTTAAAAAGCAACCTTGCGACCAACGCGTGGAGGCCCCTCCGACGATTAAGAGAGCGGATTGGCCCGGCAGGGAAGGTCCCGCCCACAAGGCTCGCCGACCAATGACTGAGCGGCAAGAGTAGGTGCGAGCCTGGGGCAGGCTACTTAAGCGAGGCTGCGCGCGGGCCTCAGCGGACAGTCCGGTTCTGCGCCGGTGGGGAGAGGCGGCGGCGGCAGCGGCGGCGGCGCGCGCGAGTCCTCGCGGAACCATGTCCAGGCGGGAAACAGGCGCCAACGCCTCCCCTTGGGTCGCGGCTTCTCCTCGAAGAAGCCCGACGGTGTGTCCGGCCCCGGAGAGGAGGCCGGCGGAGAGTCCGACTGGAAGAGGTCGGAGAAGGAGTCGGGGCGGCAGAGGGGGCGGCTGGAGGGAGCCCGCTGGCCTCCCGGAGACCGGGGCCGGTGGTCGCGGGGAACCGCCGCTCCGCTTCGCTGTGAAGAACAACGTGGTGGGCGCGGTGGTCGGTGAGCCGGGCCGGGGTGGGCGGGGCTATGGGCGGGCCCCTAGGGCTCTAGCTCTTCTTATGCCAGAGTACCACTTAATTCATCTTTTGATATTTTATAAAAATGTTTTAGGGAGTAAAACACCTAAGAACTAATGAAATCTGTGGGATTTAAAGGGATGCTAAAAAGATCAGGGGTTTTGGGGGTTTCTTGGGTTTTTTCTTTTTTAGACAGTTTACTCCCAAAGAACAACAAAAGTGTTGAAATCAGTTTCTAATTCTGTGAGTACCATCCAGAACTGTTGATCCAAGAAGAGATGTAGGATATTAACCTAGGGCTGTTTCACTAAGTTGCCTTAACTTTACAGGATAATTTATCTGTTGGGATACAGCATCTTTTTTTGTGTGCATGTTGAATTTTACAACTTTCTTTTTAAAAGATGCATTTGAATATCAAAATGATTCCCTCCCCCCCGCCCTTTATTACCTTTAAGACTGAGTATTGTCCAGCGCTGTGGTTCAGGCTGTAATTTAGGAGGCAGAGGCAGGAGGCTGGCAAGTTCCAGGCCAGCCTGGTTGACTTAGGGAGATCCTGTCTCAAAATAAAATAAAAGGCTTGGGGCTGTAACTCAGCGCTGAGCTCTGAGTTCAGTGTAACGCTGTAAAACAGTAATATGAATTACAAGATTTTGTTCATCTATTGGAGTTAATTTATTTTTTGCTTTTTTTTTTTTTTTTTTGCTTTTTTTTCCGGTACCGGCAATCGAACTCATGACCTTGCACTTGTCAGGCAGGCTCTGTGCCGCTGAGCTAAATCCCCAGCCCCTATTTGTTGCTTTTTAAAAACCTGTTCTGAGAAAATGAACAGATTGTGCAGGCTGCTATTAAATAGTGCATTATAACAGTAATTGTTAGCCGAGACTGAGATTCATTAGCTCCTCCAAAGGTTCAGACACAAAAGATGTGAAGAACAACACTCCATAAAAAATGAGCCACTAGGCTTGCAGTAAAAATCAGTTTGCAGGACTTACTAAGTATCTGTTAAGCGTAGGCCCTGTGACACAGCATCCTCATTTGATGTTGGATCTGGGTCCAGTTTTTTTCTTTTTCTTTATTTTGTGCTGAGAAGCAAACCTAGGGCTTTCTAAATGCTAGACTGACACTGCAACTAAACTACATCCCCAGCCTAGAATCCAATTTTTTTTATAGTGGTGGTGCCTGGGATTGAATTTAAGGCCTTCATACTGCACTACATCGCTAGTCTTTTATATTTAATTTTGAGCCTGGGACTAAATCACTCAGTCTGGGCTAGAACTTATAATCATCCTGCCTCTACCTCCCAGAGTGCTGGGGATCACAGACATCGAATTATTTTTTTATACTGGTAAATCAACAAGTTTACCTTGATTTCTTTTTCATTTGTTTGTTTTTTTGGCAGTGCTAGGGGCTGAAGTCAGGGCATCAAGGTGCTAACCAGAAGCTCTACCATTGCTCTACAATGCTCGCCCCCCTCTTATTAATTTTTAAGTATACAGTACAGTATTAACGATAAGCACAGCCAGGCATGGTGATGCACACCTGTAATCCCAGCACTCAGGAGGCTGAGGCAGGAGGATCGTTGTGATCATTGTGACCAGCCTGGGCTACAAAGTGAGCTCAAGGCCAGCCTGAACTGCATAGCAAGACCCTGTCTCCAAAAAAGACAAAAAAAAAAAAAAGATAAACACAGAGCACAGATCTTGGCTCAAATCTCTAGAACTTGCATGACTAAAACTATACCCACTGCAGAACTCCCTGCACCCTGCCCTGCAAACTGCTATTCTGTGGTCTGGATTTGATTATATTAGGTACTTTAGAGTCCTAAAGTAATTATTTTTTTATGATTGGCCTATTTAGCCCTCATACTGCCCTCAAGATTCATCCATTTTGTAGTATGTGATGGGATTTTCTTTTTAAAGCTGAATGGTATCGCTTCATTATTTTGTATGTGCACCACATTGTGTTTATCAACTTAACCTTTGATAAAAGTGGTTGCTTCTACTTTTTTTTTTTCTTTTGTGGTGCTGGGGATTGAATCCAGAGGCATTCTGTCCCTGAGCTATGTCCCCAGTCACACCCAACTTTTTTTAAATTTTTAAAGCAAATTCTACAGGCTGGCTTTGAAGTTGAGAGTCTCCTGAGTAGCTGGGATTACAGGCATGTGCTACCATGTCTGATTTGCTTCTGCCTTTACTACTGTGAATCATGCTTCTGCAAACACAGGCATGCAAAGTATCACTTTGACAGCCTGTGTTCAGTTCTTCCAGATGTGTACCCACCAGTCTGCTGGATTATATGGTAATTAAAAAAAAATTTTTTTTGAGGAACTTCCATACTGCTTTCCATGGTGTCTGCACTATTTTAAAATCCCAGTAGTGCACAAGGGTTCTTCCACTTTCCTCACATCTCTAACATTTGTTAAATTTGTTTTTAATAATGGCCAACCTAACAGGTATGAAACAGTATCCTGTTGAGGTTTCAATCTGCACTTACTTGATTAATGAGGTTCAGCATCTTATATGCCTACTGGCCTATATGCCAATGACATTTGGACGTCATTGAGAAAATGTCTATGCAATTATTTGCTGTCCTCTTTTAAATTTTGTTTTGAGACAGGGTCTCACTAAATTGCCCGGGCTGGCTTTGAACTCGCAATCCTCCCGCATCAGACTTTGGAGCCTTTCTTGGAATGATTTAGGGATGAGCTAGACAAGGTTCTTTGAGGGAAGCAGGTAAATCCAATGTATTGACTTCAATTTGTGTGTTCCTTTTTAAAAACAAACAAAAAACAGGCCGTGGTGGATCAAAAATAAGAGAAATCCAAAGTACAACAAATACCAAAATACAGGTAAATCATCTATGTTCTTAAACCCATAGGCATAATTCACCTAATTGTAATTGTTTACTGCAATTTAGCTGTTAACAGACTGCTGTGAGTTGACTAAGTTTTTCAGACTGCTGAATTTTCCTGAGCTCGTTTTTTTTTGTGGACCTTAGAGCTTAAAATGTTTTAGCTATAACCTGCATTTAAAAGCTTCTCTATGGGATAGTGACGATGCCCAAAATGACTTGCTGCCCGCGTCACCTGCCTTAAACCTTGACACACTCCCGTGTTCCCAGTCTTGGTGAAAGTGTACAGCATCTGTCAGGGTTCTCAAACCAGAAATCTCCAGTGATCTTCTGTGATACTCGCCTCTTCTCACTCGAGCCTTGTTTGTATCCTATGCTGCTCAGAGGGCATCCCATCAGGCACATTCTCCCTTAACCGTCCATCCTGCACTATGGTGAGAGCAACCTTTCTGAGACACAAGATTGTGAGTTCATCTTCCTTTCTACATAAAAGCTTTGCATAGTAGCTTCTCACCATGGTCCACTAGACCGGGCCTGTTTTAACCTCTCTGTTCTTTTTGATCTACTTCCTTCCTGACATTTTCCTGTCTTAGGTGTCTGCTTATACCCCTACTGATCTTTCAGGTAAGTGCAAGTTCATCACCACTTCCTCAGGGAGGTCTGAGCCCTCCTGCTCCCTCTTGTGTATAGGCACCCTTTTTCTCCCTCACAGCATCTCCAGATTGCTTCATGTCTGCGCTTAAAGAGCTGTGTTTGTCTGTAGAACCTACAGATGAACACTGAATCACCAGCCTGCAACAGTCTTTGGGGTATGGTACGACTTTCCAGATAAATATTGAAAAATGAGAGTATCTAAAATTGTATGTGTTTAAAGGTGTTACTTATAGATTCTTTCCTCAATGTTATAACATCAGCCTTGTGGAGAACTTATTGCTGTAACAGTGTACAAGTGGAGGATCCCAGCAAGTTAAAAATTTGCATATGTGACGGGACACTTCAAAACAATTTTATTTTTTCAGTTTTTGAGACAGGGTCTAGCTATGTAATTTAGGCAGGCCTTAAGCTTGTTAAGTAGCCCAAAGTGGCCTTGAATTCATGTTGCCCTTCCTGCCTCAGCCTCCCAAGTATTGGAACGATAGATAGCATGTGCCACTATGACCTACCAAAACAACTTTATCTACGTATCATACTCGTCAGTCCACTCCAGCTCAGTGATTCTGTAAAATAAGCATCACCATTTTATTAGGGAGAGAACACAGAACCAAAGGAATGTCACCTGTCAGATTAACACAGTGGTCCCCAACCTCCTCGGCACCAGGGACAAGTTTGTGGAAGACAGTTTTCCATGCACTAGAGTCAGAGGATGGTTTGGGGATGAGTCAAACACACTAAATTTATTATGTACTTTATGATTATTACAGTGTGTAATAGATAATGAAATAATTGTACAGCTCATCATAGGGCAAAATCAGTGGCAGCCCTGAGCTTGTTCTCCTTCAGCCGTACGGTGACAATCAAAATGTGTTGCTTACGTCCAGTCTAACCCTAACCTCGTTTTGGCTGCTGTCACTGCAGAGAACCCTGCTTCGCAAAGATAAATGTTGGAAATGGAAGCAGGCTTTTCAGTGCTTTTGTGGAAATCTCAAAAAATATTCCACCTTCACTTCAATCCACAATATATAGAGATTTGAAGTTGTCTCAGATATACTTTCTAGGCCACCATCATTGGCGATTTCAAGCAGTTGATCCTCTTTTAGAACAAAGTTGATTCACTGACCTAAATAGGTTGTAGATCCATTCTCTCCTGTTTGGGATCTTCTTTGTTTGGGAAGTAATGTTCAAGCTCTTCTGAAAGCTGAGATAGGTAATTATGCACCAGCTAGGAGAAAGAAGGTCCTGGGTCAGTCTCTTTCAAAATCTCTGCTAATGTTCCAAACCTCAAAAATCCCAGTGTTGGGGCTGGGGATTTAGCTCAGCGGCAAAAGCGCCTGCCTGGCAAGC